TTATTATTACTCTTTCATAATGTAATTAATTATAATAATGATATTATTATTATCATTCGCACTGGATCTGCAATTTTGATATTTTGAAATGAAACTGGGTTGAGGATCACCTATTTAGACATAAGTAAATCTGTTTTATCTCAATTTGTATGTCTTTATCTTCCTTTTAACGTCATACTCACGAAAGGCGAAGAGCAATGTTTATCTTTGAATAAAGGAGTAGCTTTTACTCTAGGTGGTTGATTGCGATATTACACGCATTGTCCTTTGATTGTAACTTTTGAGTCTTGTCTGCATTAGGTATGTTTGTGTGTGGCCATCGGTCCACTATCACATTGATTCAGGATTGAGCCAGCTTTTGGACATGGAGCTTTTTTGTTTTTGTTTGTCCTTTTGTTTGTTTTATTGGGGGGAGGGGGTTGTTTGTTTGTTTGTTTTAGCTGAACAGCAGCGTTGCTTTCATGAAGCATATATGATGCATTAACTCGATTTTTTAATGCATTAAATATCTGAAATATCTCGCAGCATTGAGCATTAAGTGAAACTTTGTTTCCAATTGATTGCGTCTGTCTCTTCTTCATGGCTGCAATTTTTAACCCCCTCAGTTTATACAAGCATGTCAAAGAGTGCATTTAATTTACCTTCCATACACTGAAGGCAGTGAGTGAGGTGGAGTTTGTAGGTCATTTTCATCACCTGCTGTTCTAAACTATTTAATTTGTTTTGGAGTTAGAAGCAAGATTTCAACTTTTAACACTGTGTTCAACAATGAACTTTGTCAAATGGGTAAAACTATCTTTTTCTCAAGTTCCAAACACAAGAAACAGATCCCATATCTTTCAGGTTCTTCTCGAAGATTTGTCTCACTGCTCACTGTATTCTAACCACAATACGTCTACCCGACCCCCACCCCACGCGATTCTCCAATCCGCTACACATTTAACTTCATTCGTTTAGAACTGTTCCTCATTGCGCACATCGTCTGCATAATTTACTTTTTCACAATTCACGAAAGACGTTCTAAAAAATTATCCCATTAACTTATTTTACAAATTATGATTTCTCACATCAATGTGTTCATGCTTCGCCGAAACCATTTCTGGAATTCATTGAACAGCCTATTCACTTTTATCTAAAGCAGTTCTACAACAGTCATACTTCAATCCATTTATTCTTTTCCTGAGGCCATTCTCTGGAATGTACGCATCAACGAAATCACAATTCACAGGAGTCATTTTCTTAACTTCTCACATGAAACAAATGTATTTCATATTTTGCTAAGGCAAGTCTCTGGAACTTACACCTTAACGTATTTGCAATTCATTGCATCCATTTCCAAGAATTATCACTTCAACTGAATGTGATTCATATTCCTTAAGCCATTCTGTGGAAACCACACTTTAACTTCTTCATATTTCCCTGGAACCATTCTCTGGAAATCACACCAAGACTTGTTCATATTTCCCTGAAGCCATTCTCTGGGACTAACCCCTTAACTTTTTCACATTTCACTAAAGCCATTCTCTGGGACTCACACCTTAACTTATTCACATTTCACTAAAGCCTTTCTCTGGAATTCCGCTCAGGCAAGAACAACACGTCGGCCCAGACCAACTCGCAGACCCCGGGTCGATGAGCAGGTTGGTTGCTTCCCTTTGCGAGCATCCGGTCCCAAAACTCCTGAATTTTTTCATTAACTTCCGTTTTCTTTTTCGTCAACCCTTAGTTTTTATACGCACCCAGTTTCCCCATACACCCACTTTACTCCCACCCACCCCACCACCCTACGCCCAATATCTAAAGACCGATCTCACATCTTGCCATAGTTATATCCGTGTCGAGCAATCGCAGCCGCTTGTTTGCTTCTGTTTTCTATTCTGTTTGCTTCATCTTCATACTTTTGTGCTTTGTTTTGCCTCTTAAATCTTCCTAGAAAATTAAGTATTTCTCATTCTATATATTGTGGGCATGATCCTTTCTTTTTCGTTGCATGCAGGCGTTCAATTTTATTATAATATATTCATTATTGAGAATTGGTTTTCATGGTTTCCTGCTGCAATTTTTTATTCAGCGTATTATCAAGTAAAACCCGTCGGATAACAATGTTTATTGATGCAAAATATCCAACAAACAGTATTCAGACCGAATTAATCCCTAGTAAGAACTTCTAGCTTGAGCCTGTTGTAAGCACTTCTATAGGACCATTAGTGTGACCTCGTTGTAAGCAATTTTAAAGAGCCATCAGATTGGCCTTATTGTAAGCAATTCTTTAAAATCTCCAGTGTTACCTCATTGTCAGCTTTTTTTTTGTAGATAGACCCTCCGGTCTGGCGTCACTTCTAGAGGCACTTCTAGAGGGTCATCAGTGTTACCTCTCCGTTATCACTTCTAAAGAGCTATTAAGTTGATATCAATGTTCATAGGGTCATCGGTGTGGCCTCGTTGTAAGTCCTTCTTTAGGGCTATCGTTGTGACCCTACTCTAGGAACTTAACTTCTAGAGGGCCGTCTAACTTTATTTTAAGCACTTCTAGAGACCATCAGTGTGATCTCACTTAAAGTACTTCTATATATCTATTAAGCCTATCTCATTGTACGTCCTTCTAGAGGGTCACCAGTCACAGCTCATTGTAAGCACTTTTAGAAGACTTCATTGAATCCTTCTAATTGTCATGAAAGCGTTATGGCATTTTTATTACTTACCCCTAGTGTTTGTTCCCCTTTGACCTTGTTTCTCCAATGTCACGAAGTGAACCGTCTCCCTTAGCGTTTGTCAAGATATTGAAACTGTTCTTAACTCACATTTTACCAAGTTGCTTTTTTTAAAAAGTTGCTTTCCTTTTTTCTTAGTATCCTTACTGTAGCCTTGTACTTCGCATGCAATAGCATTACGTTGACACACATTCCTCCCCGTTGGATCGTTTTCATATTGCATTGCCATCTGTGTATCGTTGCCTTCTTTTTTTTCCTTTATCTTTACGATTATGTCAACCCCCCCCCCCCCCCTCGCCCCCGTCCCTGTAAAAAGTAAAAAGAAATCACACACGCCATTTATCTTCCCAATTCCCCATCAATATCTGTAAGAGAAACTCAAACTCTCATACATAAGTCAATCATTTTTATCTTCTGATCACTTGTTACAATATAAGTGTTTTTGCTTTTTGCGTTGCCAACTTTAAAAATAATCACCCCCCCCCTCTTTCTCTCTCTTTCTCTTCCTCCCTCCCTCCCCCCTCTCCCTCCCCCCCCCCCCCTTCCCTTTCCTCCCCCTCCTCCGCCCCACCCACCCCGCCTCTTCGTATTCTCTAAATAAACTCTGTGTTATAAAAACCTCAATTCCTCATTTCTAAACTGGTTGGATGATCAGTGCCTGACATGTTTGCTTGTCGCTGGACACCCCAGATCTGTATTTGATCCCTACGTCTTTTGTTTAGAATCTTAAACCAAATTATCAATGTCTACCTTCGTTTCTATTCGAAATTTGTATTTCGCTTCGTTTTGGGCATACTTGCTTTTTTCCATTGATCCCGTTATTTCACCCTTTTGTTTTTTCTGTTTTACTCTTGTACAGCCTATTTATTATGTCACATTATGATTGTGCTTTGACATCTCCGTTTGAGTCGTATGTGCTCAGTGTATAGATTCCTTTCACCAGGTAACAGCCCCAAGGTACTAGTGACATTTTCCCCTTGTAAATGTTGTGAAACACTCAACACAGTCAAAACAATTTTCTTCTGTTTATTGTCTCCGGAATGCTTACATCCATAGATGGTATTGTAAAATGAGATATATGTTTAGCACCTTCAACCTTTGACTGACATCAACTTACCATCCTATCAACATCTTCAATTTTAATGTGCTTAATTAATTTTTTAAAATCTCAAAATAGAGATACACCATCATGTTCTTTCTATATCCCTTTCCCTACTTACTATGGGCACTATCATAAAGAGACTCTTCCGTCTCTGTATCTTCATATATAATTCGGATCAACGGAAACTCTGCGCCATCTGCTAGGCGTACTGAGAGTACAACTTCCTAAACGTGCACACATTCCACATCGTCTTCTTCTCTAACTCATCATTTGGCCCATCATCAGGACCCCGGCGGCACTTCCGAAGGGGAAGGCGAAGACACCGGGACTGGGACGTCGGGTGGTGACCCTGATGGAGATAACATTGGTTTAGGTATCGATTTGAGTATCGATAACGGCGGTGACGACCAGGTTTGTTGCTGCCCCACGAGGGACGCCTTAGTAGAAATTTCTCGCTCAATTCGCACTTCGTCGTCGTCAGTTTCCTGCGTTCTTGATAGCCAGGAGTGAGGCGACTGCGTGTTACCTTCTGCACCATCCATCAGCGTGTCTTCAGGGCTTATGCATGGTGTGACGTCCATTCTGGGACTTTTTGGCAGACAACTGAAAGTAGAGCTTGCTTCTTTTATCTCGCGGAGTGACAAACAGCATTGAACAGAAAAAATATACTTTGCAACTTTGCATGGAGTTCAAAGTTCAAGTACAGGTCCAGATGCTCGAGACAAAAGAAGGCGTCTCCCATGACGTATCTGAAACGTCATCGCTTTGCATGGGCTTTGTCTTTCGGTTGATCTTAGAACTAGAAGTAGTAGCTCTTTTTATCGGTGTCTAAAAGATCGCCGAATACTTTCTGCTTTCTGTTCTTTTTGTTCTGTTTGAAGCTCATATCTGTGGCTTCCCAAAGATGGCCTCAATCTACAAGGTTAAAATACTTCTTCAGCAGTAGTGGCATTCGCAGAGTTGTCTCCTAATTTCTCTGACTTCAAGTGTATTTGTGAACACTGTTTGCAGTTTTTTTCTTGGATAAAGCTACTTAGGTGCTTCCATTGTAGTGGTAGTTTTGAGAGTCTAACAATCACTCTCAAGTTGCAGACGTCCTTATGCTTGTAAGCGAAGTCCGGTGTTGCTGTTTGCTTTTCTATCTCTTTCCTTCCACCAAGTTCCCCGAGGAAGACTTGCGTGCATCGACAACAGAGGATCCTCAGATTCAGCCCTCTTGACAATAATACTTTTGTTCCACAGATGCTTATTCCCCTTTACAAATTGTCCTCATTTCACTTCAGTCTGCATCACTACTCGCAAACTGCTCTCTAAATTCTACCCCTGAACAGCTCCATTTAAGTCACAACATTAACAACTCATCTAAATGTAAAGAATTTTTTTGACTCTTAGCAATAATCCTTTTATAATAATAATGTTATTACGTAATTTGCAAAAATATCATGAAGCTTTATGACATTTTAGTTGATTTTTTTTGTGTTCTTAGAATGTTAACGAGATATTAACGTTGATAATAATATGCATAAAACAGAGGTACCTTCCCCTTTTCAAATGTAGATTATGTCTTTTTAAAAACACTATTTTGGGATCAAGTGCCAAAATCATTAGACTCAAATACCCACTTTTCTGGAGCTGGTCAGAGTTCTATTTGTCGTTGTTCAGCTTTCCTTTTCATCTTTCAAGAAACAATCATTAACTCATCCCTCATCCCTTCCACGTCCTTTTTAGAACATTGTAGCTAACTTGTAGTTTGCTTCATCACTCACGTTTCCTGCACACTTCGTTTTATCTACAGAAATTTGCTATAAATCTGTTGTTTTTGTTTTTTTAAAGAAATTCTAAAGTCATAGGTGCTGATCTGAGTCAGTACTTGAGCCATTATTTTGTTAAGTCTCTGAAGTGTTGGTTTTCATCCGTTAGTATTTCCATTTATGTGTGGTTTATTATTTTAAAGATATTAAGTAGGTAATCTGTAATTATAGTACTGATAAGAATTAATAATGTATTGTTGATAATAATAATATAAACATTAAAAGACATTTCAAAGTTAATAGAAACAGGAAAGATCTTTACTTTAAAAAAACAACATTTTAATACCTAACTTGTGTTCTACACTTCAGAGCCTAAGCTGAAATATTTGGAAATACGTTAAGACGTTGCATTTTTAGGTATTAGCATAACTAGTCACTGTACAAATCACATTGATAAACTTCAACCTTTTACCTTTGATGCGGTTATAAATTAATATGTACCTGACAAGATATATAATGCGTATATAATTATAGTATATTTTATTCTTTGGCTTCTTAAAATCATCTTGTTTGCTACAACCTGTGTTTTGGTTTTTGTATGTATTGGTATGTTTGTAATTTTGAAGATGTTCGCGCTATTTTGCATCGCTCAAACTGTTC